ACCCGCCCCTAGAGTGACACTGTCCTGCCGTTTAAAAACAGTAGGCGGAAGGCAAGTGGTTAAAATTATACATGATAATAATTATCAAAGCCAAAATCAAAAACATACCAATTCTCAATGTGTTTTGTGAACCTAGTTCACTTCCTCAGGAGTAGATGCTATTGATAGAGATATAAAGCAATATACCCCCTACAATAAAGGGAGGGAAAAACTACTTTAATTAATATATTATATAACAGGGTCCCCTACTTACAGATCTTTATGTAGTAGATGATATTGCAGCAAACCAATGGGTATCTGCTCTGGGAGTTGTGGGAGGGGGGCAAACGCCCCCCCCCCCCCAAAAAAAAGGATAGGACAACCAAGGGGCTGCAGCCAGTAACACATAGATAAAGATAAGCAGGCCATATACCACCAATCAGAGATAAACCTATACTGTAATAACAAAAAAAAACAAACAATAGTAAAAATACAAATATAAATTGGTTTATCAAACAAGTCCTAAAAAGAGCAAACAATGGATAAGTGTGAACTTTTATCCAGAAAGTCGAAAAGCGTATAAGGTGAAGTGACTATTGTATTTCATCCGCATATTTTTCTTCCTTAAAAAGTGAACTTTATATCCGAAAGTACCAGTAACCAATAAACAGATATGAAGAGAAAGAAATAGGAACGCACAAATGTCAAGAATTTGAAGAAAACAGAATTGTTGCCATAGACAACCAGTCCAATTTTAGGTGCTCCTTCAACTAGACTGCAATTAGAAAGCTCTAAACCCAATAATCACATTTTCATAGAAGGTTTAACATGTTAATGTTATTTCAAAAATGGTTTTCAATCTTTTTAAATCTACAGTTTTTATTTTAATACCTGGTGAGCAAGCCATTCTCCTGTCTCCCAACTGTGCTCCTCCGTTGTCACGCTGTTACATGAACCCCTGATGGAGGTCAGATCTTTAATTTTTAAAGCTTACCTGAACAAGCTGAAGATAGAAGCTGTTTAGTTGCCATAAACAGTTGCTCCAGATTTGATAGATTTCCCTCCAATATGTCATTGAAAAAAGGATAGGGGGCACTGTTTACATCTGGAGAAAAGGAGATTTAACCTCCACATAGGGAAAGGCTTCTTCACAGAAACAGCTGTGAAAATGTGAAATAGACTCCCTCAAGAACTAGTTCTGGCCAGCTCAGTAGATTGCTTTAAAAAAGGCCTGGATGCATTTCTAAATTCACAAAAATATTTTGATACTGTCATTGATGAGCAATAAGCAGGGCTGTAGATAAGGGGGTACCACCAGTCCTCATGTACAGGGCCCTTGATACTGTCATTGATGAGTAATAAGCAGGGCTGTAGATAAGGGGGTACCACCAGTCCTCATGTACAGGGCCCTTGATACTGTCATTGATGAGTAATAAGCAGGGCTGTAGATAAGGGGGTACCACCAGTCCTCATGTACAGGGCCCAGGCTAGCAAGGGGGCACAGGCAGCTGGGTTAATCAGATGTGGGCAGGGAGGGTGATCGGCATGGTGGTGGGGGGTCAATTACTGGAACTGATCCCCTCTATGAATCTCTCTGCAGAAGCTGAAAGCTGGATTCTTCTCCCTCCCACTGGCTTTCAGCTGCTGCAGAGAGAGAGCTATACAGGGGATCGGATCCAGTAATTGACCCCCCCACTGCATACATCACCCTCCCTGTGTACAATATGCTTTCCCCCTGCTGCCCTGGCCTCCTTGTGTGCCCCCACCCCTGCAGTGCTGCTGGATTCTCTCCTCTCCTTCCCACCAGCAGCTGCAAGCACACAATAGGATCCTTCAGGATAATAAGTGGGGGAAGGTTCCGGTAAATATGTCACATTTACCAGTCCCTTCCTTTTCTGAATGAACAATGAGTGATCGGTACCAACCACTGACTGTGTTCATTCATAACTGAAGCATAGTAAACTGTGCTTTTGTTTGAGGAGGGGGGCCCTGTCATATTGGCTGTATGGGGCCCCGTGGTTTCTAACAGGAGCCTTGGTATTAAGACTGTAGATTGTTGATCTAGGGAATATCAGATTGCCTTCTGGGGAATCAGGAAGGATTTTTTTTCCCCCACCAGAGCAAATTGAACCATGCTTTATAGAGTTTTTATTTACTTCCTCTGGATCAACTGTAGGTATAAGATTCTGTGTAGCACGGTTTCCTATTTTTTTGTTTTTTTCTATTGGTTGAACTAGATGAGCTTTGGTCTTTTTTTTACCTAACTATGTAACACATAAACATCTGACCCAACCATACGCATAGTATGGTCTCTGTCTTACTGTTACCCTTGCCTTAATTTTTTTTTTTTTTTGCAGTGTGTCAAATTCTGCCGAAAGGTGTGGTCTCTGTCCTAGGACCCTCCGCCAGTCCAGCTTCTGCATCCACAGTCAGCCATATATGTGGAGAAAAAGAGGTGAGTGGTCTGATTATAAATGACTTTCTTCATTGACCTGTGTTCTGAATTCAGGTTGTGTTCCATATTCGGAAGTAACATGCTTGGTTTTACTCAAAAAGAAGCAGGCGGGGGGTACACATACAATGCTGGGTTTATACTTCTCTAAGCCAACTGTCTTATGCTACTTCCACCTACCCCAGTACTCTGGTTGGCCTTAGAAACACACAAACTAGCACTGAAAGAGTCTTAACCATCCATCTATATAACAGAGCTCCATAAGTCCCACTAATTTGTACATATCATTTTACATCCTAAAATCTACTTAAGGTGCCCACCCCCTTCCTCCACACTGCAATAGTACTCCTATAGTCTAGGAATGTGGGAATGAGATGCCAACCAGAGGGTTAATAGCCCTGCATTGTACATGATGACACTGAGGGACCTCCCATATCTTGGAGTGCTAGAGAGAAAGGAAGAGAGCACCTGAGCCGATCAGAGTGGGGGTAAGGTAAGTAATGCAGCCTCTTCACAGGGCTGTGGATAAGGGGGCACCACCAGAGCTCCTGTGCAGAGCCCATACCAGAAAATGGACCTAGGCAGCTGGGTTAATCGGATGTGGGCATGAAGGGTGATTGGCATAGTGGTAGGGGGTGAGGGGCCAATTACTGGAACTAATCCCCTGTATGGGTTCTCTCTGTAGCACCTGAAAGCTGGCTTCTTCTCCTCTCCCTCCTGCTGGGTTTCAGCTGCTGCAAAGAGAGCTATACAGGGGATTGGTTCCAGTAATTGCCCCCCCCACCACACACATCAGCCTCACTGTGTACAATACATTTTCCCCCTGCTGCCTTGGCCCCCCTGTGTGGCCCCACCTCTGCAGTGCTGCTGGCTTCTCTCCTCTCCTTCCCATCAGCAGCTGCAAGCACACAATAGGATCCTTCAGGATGGAAAGTGGGGGAAGGTTCCGATAAATATGTCACATTTACCAGCCCTTTCCATTCCTGAATGAACACAATGAGAGACCGGTACCAATCACTCACTGTGTTCATTCATAACTGCTGCATAGTAAACTGTGCTTTTGTTTGGGGAGGGGGCCCTGTCATGTTGGCTGTATGAAGCCCCGTGGTTTTTAACAGCAGCCCTGCTGTTCCCTCTAAATGTAACACGCATATAACCCTTGCAGTATGGGAAAAGGGGGTAGATTTTGTCTAAATTCTGGAATTGGACTTTAAAGCACTCCAATCAGTATACAGTATATATTACCCCCTTGGGATAAAAAAAAAAAACAGGCGATCCAAGAGGCGGTGTTATCACCTCCTGAACGGCTCTAAATCGTGATCTGAAAGCAATCCACCATGGATAGCTTTTCATAGCCTGCCACCCGTGTGAAAGAAACCTAACAAGTAGAAAGACAGCAATAAAAACCCAACAGTGCTCTAACCTCTCACCACTCCACCAATCCAAAATTAAAAAAAAAAAAAAAATTGGCTAGATACACTTGGCATTATAGATGGGGAGAAGGTTGCAATGACATTGAAGTAACAGCTACTCAGTGTCAAGACATTGTTGAAAGTATGCTTAATTTCCTGGCACAGAGCCAACGTGTTATGAATATTACTGTCTTCCCAACTGCACATCTAAAAGCACAAAGCTGACGTGTATATATCATTACTCCTTATTCACTCCTGAATTTTACTTTTTTTCTAAGCCAGTTAACCCTGTCAAAAGCTGGCAGTAGAGGAATTTGGTTAACACCATCCTCAAACTGGAACATATTGTCTAATTCAGTGATCTCCAAACTGTTGTCCTTTGATTTCCTTTATCTGACCCTTGGGAACTATTCCTCAATTGATATGGGACACTATTTCTCCCATTGACCAACAATGAGGCACCTTTCCTTCCACTGACACCAACAGTGGGGTACCATTCCTCCCACTGACGGTAAACAATGGGGCATTATTTCTCCCAATGGTACCCGTTATTGGGTACTATTTCTCCTCCTCCTGACCACAGGTGCCATGTAATTTATTTACTTCCACTAATGACCAAGTCTGAAACATTGTCTACTCCCATTTATGCAGGAGCATTTTCTATTCCAACTGGCCACAGTCTGGCCCCCCTTAAAGTGGTTGTAAACCCTTACATATACCCAGTGAGGTGAGTGGCCTCAGGTGATACACAGAGATTAAACAGATCCTCCTACATAAGTTGTACCGGTTTATCTGCAGTTTTTTCTTCTCTACATCCATACAAAGTGTTGAATTTTAAAACTTGGTCTGAGAGTTCAATAAAAAGGGGGTGAAGAGCTAATGTTATACTCTGCAGAGCTCACTGAGGACAGTTCTGAGAGCAGATTGAAGGGAAGAGCCCCCCTTTCCCTCCCACATACACACACAGCTCACAGGAACAAAGCGGAGGCTGTCACTCTTATGGAGGTCCCTCCCCTGTCATCATTTTTCTTTTGGTGTCAGGAAAACCTGTCAGGAGTGACTCGTGCTGTTAGAAGAGGAATGAACCAGCAGACAGAAATGCCACTTAGGGAGGGATTTACTAAAGCTGAGGCTCTCAGAATCTGGTGCAGCTGTGCATGGTAGCCAATATCAGCTTGTTCATTTAAGCTTTGACAATAAAACCTGGAAGCTGATTGGTTTCTATGCAGAGCTGCACCAAATTTTGCACTCTCCAGTTTTAGTAAATAACCCCCTTATTGCTTTGGATTGAGACACGTACACACTATAGAGTTATATGCTTTGTTCACATTTCATGTATGAGGTTTACAACCACTTTAAATTTTGAAAGACAGTAAACTGCCCCTTTGTTTGAAACTCGGGCACTGCCCGAGGGCCCGGGGTCAGTAGAGGGCCCCATGAGATGCCCCTGGTACCTTTTTCATAGGCTTTTTTGAGATTGGACAAGGACACACAGGGGCCCCATGATCCCCTATTTCCCAGGGGGCCCCATGAGTTGTCAGTCCGCCCCTGATTACCAAGCATTACCATGGCGTGGCTATTCAAGCAGCCAGAGAGAGCAAACAAAGAAGACTTGGCAAAGATGGAAGCGCCGGGGACAGCTGGATCGGTGACAGCACATTAGGGGAAGGCTAGTTTGGAAGGTAAGTCTGCCATAATGTGCTAATATGCTGTGTACACTATGATGCGCTTTTCGGTCAAATATGTCATTTTCAGAGATTTGGATTTATATGAATGTCCAAATGGACATAATAACAAATGTCAATTAATTTGAAAAAACATTATAATGAAGTTAACGAATGTGTTTGTTTCATTTGTTCCATTTGGATGATGTCACTTGATGCGATAGCAGTTCGGGCCCATGTGGAAATTAATTCAGTTTTCAAATTTGTTTGATAATTCGGATAATGAATGGATTCAAATTTCTTTTCATTCATTACTTCAGATGCAGATGACAACAGTCAATATTATTCACTCAGCTCATACCATTTCTCTTGGTGGGTTGGACTAGCATCCGAAAAAATCGAATCCTTCCAATTCAAATCCATACGATTCATTATTATAAAACAATCTTCTGAAAAAACTGCAATATTTTTCGAATCCATCCGGACCAACAAATATAGGAAATGAATGCTAAAGAAATGAAATATTGCTCAAAAAAATTTGGTTAATCAGAATGAATATGACTAAATGAAATTCTTCAATGAACAAATGCATCTGAAATTAAAATTTCTGGCGTGAACATGTCTAGTGCATACTAACACATTATGGCATAAACCTCCTGGGGGCCCACTAAAAAAAAAGTGAAATTGAATACTGCTATAGAGTTTATTATTTGTGCCTGTTCCTAGTTTCGGGTATTACTTCATACAGTTTTAGACTTTATGGTTACTGGAATTCACTATGTTTGTGTCCTTGGCTTTCTAGAGTTTACAACACTTTAGCTATTGAGTTTTTTCTTTTATGAACACTTTAAAGCATATAGACACAAGACCCAGTAATCATACAGAGGTCTTTTCTTTGCTACTCCACACAGCAGACAAATGTTTGTCGCTCCTTCATAAAGTGTACATCAGGACAAAATAAAAAGAAACATATGCAATACATCTCTACAATACATACACATTTCCCCATTTTATCCTTTAAAGACTCTGCAAGTACAGAAAAATACCCGTTCATCTGCCAGAAATGCACTCATCTCCATCTATCCTCTTGTGGAATCACACCTTATGCCTTTTGGGGGCTGAAATGGCAAGACTTGGTGTCAGCCCTGCCCTGTCAGCCCTGCCCCCTGCCTAACCTCTGGCCAAAAGAGCATTACATATGCTGGCATTGGGGCCCATTCCTCGCAGTGGGGTGCTCCTTTCCCAGTGGGGAAATTTGTAGTCCATTGCATAATGAAAAGCACAGTCTCATTTTGGCAGAACTCCTTGCAAGTGACAATGGCAACAGTAGCACACTAAGGTAGCCAATAGACCTCTCACCAAGCCAGAACTGTTTTGAAGTCTTCCTAGTTGCCACCCAGCCCAGGGTCGCTCTTCCAGCTAAGATGGTAGTGAAAGGGAATGAAGGCCTCATGGACAGATGCAGGCAACAGAATACTGGAACAAGGAATTGGAATTGTGGGACATTGGAACTGCAGAAAACTTGAACCACAGAAGACTGGGAGTAGAAGCTGAAAGTACACTCAACTGAATCAATAGCACAGGATCAGCTACATATGGGCTTTGGGGCTTTTTAGCACACCTACCACCGGTTAGATAAATTCTTGCATGTATTTACTGAAGGGATTGATGACATGCTGACATCACTATTCCTTCTGTGACCCACCTGTAGATTGAAATTAGTAAGATAGGTGCTGCCCCGGACTGGAGGGATAGGGGATAATACCTTTCCCAGTTCTTCGGTTTTCGGTGGGTTATCTCTAAGTCTGACCCCCTGAGCCTGTGATATAAAAGAGGAACAGTGGTTCGGAAGAGCAATACCTCAAGGAGAGCTGAGAACCTGTAAGAAAGAACCCCATAAGGCTGCATTCACACTTGAGTGTTTTGTAGCTTGAAGCTCGAAGCTCCAAAAAAGCTCAAGCTTAAAAAATCTATTGTTCTCTATGATGCCTGTTTGTGAGATCAGGTGAGAACAAGCACCATAGAGAACAACTGATTCGAGTTTCAAGCTTCAAGCTGCAAAACACTCAAGTGTGAATGCAGCCTCAAGGAGAGGACCAGAGAGCCTCACCCTAAAGGAGTAGAATGTCACTCTCTACTACCTGAATGTGAAGTTGTCAGAACTTGGTGTTCGCCCCGAAGACACCAGCTGAAGAGTCAGCACGTTAAGAGTAATTCTAGGTATGCATGTAGTTGCCATGAGCAATGAATTTACAGTCAGCAAGTAGCCTGTCGTAAACATGTGCCTGTTACAGGTGGAAATGCCTCTAGCCGCGAGGGAGAATTTGACCATACATTCCATCTTCCATAGCAACCAGAATGGAACTGCACTGCAGAGGTCCCATATGGAAGTTGGAGAGGTGGCTGTGGTCAGTGTTTTGGCACAGCCCGCCTAATTGCAAGCTACAGTGGAAAAATGTATATTTACATGGAGACCTGAGAGTTAACTGGAAAACAGTTGTTGTGCAAGTGTACAAAGTATCTAAAGTCAGAGGCCGACCTTAGGGTTGAGTATTCCTTAATGGCAACCTCAGCATTGTCCCAAGGCATTGATGAAATGGCACTAAAGCAAAAGGTATCCCATGTGTAGTAGAGTGATCCTGTCTCATGTACCTAGCATAGTCCAGAAGAACCCACCTCGGGGTAAGCCTCTCATGTTCCCCAATCTTGGCACCCAACAGGTTAATTAGAAAACATGGAGGACATGACCATTATCCCATCCACCCTACCATTGCAACACACCCACACCCGTTAATTGGCCCAACAGGCAGCAGATTCTTGTTGTCACTACAGGAGAGCAATGCTGTTCAGCTATTATAGTCACCTTTTTTAATAGCACTTTTATTAACCTGCCTGGTGGTATTTTCGAGTGTAGCTCGGGGTAAAGTTTCCGTACCAAAAGTGGTAACCCCGAGCTACACTCGGGCTTACCATGCGGTGCTGCTCCGGGATCTGTTCTTCTCTTACCTTGTCCTGCGCTCCCACGATGTCCCTCCTGCAGTGTCCCCTGTAATGTCCTCTGGCGGATACCGGCATCTGTCTTCTCGGTTCCGTCCACTGCGACGTCGGGACATACGGGGACGGAACTGGCGGGAAATTTGAAAATGACAAAAAGTGACATTCACTAAATACACTAAAATAACATAGTAAAACATTACTGTATCAAACCATTTCACATACATTTTGTCCCGAGTGCTTTGTCCTGCGCCCTGCCTGCATTTTTACTGTTCTTTCTGCCTGGAAACTGAGAAACGTCCATGGGGTCCAAAATGCGTCCCTTTAGGTCAAAAGTGGTTTTAGACCGGCTAGAGAACAGCGATAGTAAATCAGAACCACTTGCAGAATTGAGTGATAATGATTTGTGGGGACATTCTTCATCAGACACTGAAAACGATTTTGCGAGTTTGCTCAGTGATGTGCGAATTTGGTGCTATATTTCAAATTTCAGTGTTTTTGGTTTGATTATATTATTGAATTAAATCTATTATTGTTATTATATTATAATTTTTTTATGATTATTTATTAAATTATAATTTATGATTTCGTGTTTCAAGTTTTATCCTACCCGGGATGTTTACTAGACTCTTGGTCGGACAGATTTCAGTGAGTTATTCCTAAAAATTACAGGCCTACAATAAAAAAAACTACATATTTCCATGCAAAAAAATGTACCGCTTTGAGCACAGAAATATGGACATAATCAGACCGCTAGGGAGGTTAAAAAAGTTTTGATAAGGATATTCATCTTCGTAGGTCTCTGTCAGTACATGAAAATGTGTCTTTTGCACATGAATATTGATGATCAGCCATTTTATATCTAATGATAAATCATCTGGCAACGATAAAAGCACTGCCTAAAAAGTTTAGCGCTAGAAGACATTTCATTTTCCCATCTTAAAAATTCTTTATTGCATTTATTGATATAACACCAACATATTACACAGTGCTTTCAGAGTACCTAGAGCCATGTATATTAGTCCCCATGAAATAGGAGGTTCTGGCACTAAAAATCAGGCACCGGTATCTACAGTATAAGTACAGAGAGAATAGTCTTCAGTGCAAACGGATTCCCCTGCTGACAGCAGAATGTAAACAAAACAAACGCCGGTGTCACCAGATGATCCTGCTTCCATGTTTACCTGTCATTCAGCTTGTGACAGGACACAGGAGTGGACTTTTTCAGCGAGCAGCGGGATAATTTTTTGTGCGGGTCAGCATTTATTGCGATTGATAAAGGACTTGTCCAAAAGTGTGTTTGTTATTTTTACTTTTGACACTTTTTTTGGTAAAAGTGTAGGGTTACTATGTACCTCATTCCTATTCACATGGGGGGGCAGGACCACTTTTGTTAAGCGGGACTTCCACATTCCGATAAACTCCCCACCCGTAGACCCCCCACAACCACTGTACGAGGGTTGTAGGGAAGAGGCCCTTGCCCTCATCAACATGGAGACAAGATGCTTTGGGGGGCAGCCTCCCTCCCCCAAAGCACCCCCCATATGTTGAGGGCATGTGGCCTGGTATGGCGGGGGTCATATGCCCCATGCTTTCTCGTCCACCCCCATTTTCAGGCTTGCCTAGTTGCATGCTTGTATAAGGGTCTGGTGTGGATTTTGGGGGACTCCACGCCTATTTTTTTATATTTTGGCATGGAGTTCCCCTTAAAATCCAGAGAAGACCCGAAGGACCTGGTATGGATGGTGGGACCCCACGCTGTTTTGTTTAAAATTTTGTTTTGTTTACATTTTGCTGACAACGGGTAATCCCACTAACAGCAGAAGAGTCGTGGTTGTTGAGGACGTGGCACTGGCCAGCTGCCCGCTCCTTAACAAGCAGCACTATTCCAAATGAAATGAAACAAATGCCGAAGATAGACAACAAATTCCATAAACGAATCGGTCCATTAACGAATGCATCCGAAAATGAATTCTTCATTCAACGAATGGATCCGAAAACAAAACAAAATTTTGCAGTGCGCACATATCTAGTGGGGGTTACAAGAAGGGCTTATGTGAGTGTGTCATGGATCCACTTCACCAGAGCACGCTGCAAGAGGTGATGGACTTTATTTTCCTGGTTCTACCAGGTTGTGGCCCTCAGACACACCTATCAATCAGTTTATGTGCTGACAAGAAGCATGCTGATAGGAGGAGAGAGCAGAGTGACAGATAGATGAGCTCATCATTGTGCTTCTTCTCATTTCATTGTCCAATCACAGGCTGGGGGTGGGTCCAGAACAACCTGAAGAAGAAGAAGTGGGTTAAATGATATCAGGCTGAAGACATAGCACCAGAAAAAAAAGTCTTGCAGAAGAAATCTCTGGATTGAGGAAGAATATTGCAGCAAAAGCTGTTCTTAAATTTTAAATCCCAATGGGCTATTCATTTTTATCATATTATTTTGGGTCGGAGTTCTGCTTTAATCTTTAGTTCTATAGTGGAGATCCTGTCACAAAAGCTGCATTCTTCTCCGGCTCTCAAAACAGATCACACGGTATAATTCGGCACACAACAGAGCAGGTCTGTGCGCTATTATTTCAGCTCTATTCCCAGTCACTGCTCTGTCCTTACAGATTACAAGTCTATTAATGTCCTTGGCGCAACTCGCATCTCGCTTATGCAAAACCTGCCCTTAATAGGACAATGCCATAATGAAGAAATCCATTTTATTCCCAGATGGTGTTTTGCGGTGGATGCGCTCCTGCTTGCCTATACACTATGCCATTTATATTATTTTTTTTTTCCCAATGCACATCATTATGCAAAAGGATACATTGAAGACAAGCTTAACATCCTGCATCCTTTGCCAGCAGCTTTTACCGCAAGCAGGGACCAGTTTATGCAAATGGGAGTAATAGAGAAGTCCGTGTTTTTGCTATCTTTGTCCAAAATTGCCTCTCCCAGGCCCGTGTAATATTCCAAAACATATTCCAATGCGCTTTTTAAGAGTGCTCTTATCTGCATTGAAATAAAATATATAGCATTCATTTCTTCCTAAGAAAATAAGAAGTTATATCTGGCAAGAAGAGTACATTATAACGAAATAAAAGCGAAAAAAGAAAATTTGATGTTTTTTAATGCGATAAAATTGAGTTCATAGGTTTCCGGCGATAAAATACTTAATGTGCTGCATTGAGAGACTTGAATTCCTTCAAGAGCTATTTTATAAAAAATTAAATAGGTAAGATAAGGTAAAATAGGACTGTTTACCTCAGCTTAGAACTGTCAGTAATCCCATAGTAGACATCGCAGTGTTTCTTACATGCTGTACTGTTAAAGGTATGGAAATTTATACATAGTTACATTGGTCTAGCTTGGATCAATCTAAGTATGTAGGTGCCGTACCTGGCTGATCCCCATGGAAGCTGGAAATCACTGTAGTAGGCACTGCCACTACGGTGATCTCCAACAACTCAGAATGCAAGTGTACAATCCAAACGCATACTTTCCTGTGTTAAAAATGGCGGTGTGTATAAGTGGGTGCTGCAGCGACATTTGGCTGGAACCGAACAGAATCAGCAAGGGAGAATGTCACCAGCACACCAAGGATCACCAATATGGGTCCAAAAGTTTTAATAAACGATTACATAGTTACAGCAGGTCAACATTTCGGAGTCCTGCGAGACTCCGAAACGTTGCCTTGCTGTAACTATGTAATCGTTTATTAAAATGTTTGGACCCATATTGGTGATCCTTGGTGTGCTGGTGACATTCTCCCTTGCCTCTCCAACAACCCAGGTCCCATTCCAAGTGGCTGCCCTTTTGCATTGTGAACAGAAGTTGTCCATCTGGCACGGGTGCCATTCAGAGAACACTTTGCATCCTCTTGATGAATGACAAGCATTCTTTGATTGGATGAGGTGGAGAGGCAAGGCAGTGATGTCATAGTCTTAACCTCATCAAAATCAGAGAACACTTAGCATTCATCGAGAAAGGGCAAAGTGTCCTGTGAATGGTACCCTTGTGGAGCAGTCAAGCGCCTGTGTTCAGTAAACAGGGCAGCGGCTCTGCACTGGACCACAAAACCAACATCATTGACTGTAGTAGGCACTGCCACTACGGTGATCTCCAACATCCTCCAGGTCCCATTCCAAGTGGCTGCCCTGTTGCATTGTGAACACAAAAAGTTGTCCATCTGGCATGGGTGCCATTCAGAGAACACTTTGCATCCTCTTGATGAATGACAAGCATTCTCCGGTTGGATGAAGTGGAGAGGCAAGGCAGTGATGTCATAGTCTTAACCTCATCAAATCAGAGAACACTTAGCATTCATCGAGAAAGGGCGAAGTGTCCTCTGAATGGCACCCTTGTGGAGCAGTCAACCACCTGTGTTCAGTAACAACAGGGCAGCGGCTCAGCACTGGACCACAAAACCAACATCAATCACTATAGTAGGCACTGCCACTTCGGTGATCTCCAACAACCTCTAGGTTTCATTCCAAGTGGCTGCCCTGTTGCATTGTGAATACGAGGTTGTCCATCTGGCATGGGTGCCATTCAGAGAACACTTTGCATCCTCTTGATGAATGACAAGCATTCTCTGGTTGGGTGAAGTGGAGAGGCAAGGCAGTGATGTCAGTGTGTGAACACAAAGTTGTCCATCTGGCACCTGCTTGCAGCCTGCTTCTGGGTTTAGGGCACACATACGCGCCCCCCCCCCCCGCCAACATCCACTGTTATTGTGCATAGCGGGAGTCTGTCAGTAAGACCTGGCCAATGATTCATGCTCTTCGGCTGTGCCCAATTACAGCCCAGAGACCTGTGTTGACAATTAACACAGAGCTCTGTACAGAGGGAAAAATCTCTCTGTTTCTTATTCCTGCAAAGCCTTCCCAGCCAGTGTCATTAGTACAGTGACAGTGCATGGTATTATCAGGGGTGTATTTACCACAAGGCAAACAAGGCATTTGCCTAGGGCGGCATTTTTCTGGGGGGCAACATCCCCCCAGGAAGAAGGGACATATGTGGCATGGGGACCAGGTGGGATCCGAAAGAGGCTGCGGGCTGCTTGAAGGTGTATGCAGAGCCGACTCTCATTCCCGGGGATGTCCGGATCCGGAGCTGTGTAGGTGAGCATCTTCCTCTCTGTTGTTGGGGGGAGGGGGTGTTAGTGGAAGGCTCTCTCGGGTTGGGCGGGG